GGCGCCGGGTATGAAGGCTGGGAGGACACGCGGGCCCCGGAGTCCCAGCAGGAGCCTCTCCCGCTCCCCCCGGCCCCCTGTCTCTGTGACCTCGGCAAGAGTCATTCAGGAGGTGGTCAGGGTGACGGGCACAGGACACTGGGGGACAGAGGCAGAGACAGAGCAGGACAGGGGTGTGGGTCCCGAGCTGGCTGGCTACATCTTTGTTGGCAGGAGGCTTGTGGCCGTAGGGGACCCTGAGGTCTCTGCAGGTGGTAGGTGCGGTGGGCTCGGATCTGCCTGCTGGGCCCTGGCAGGTGACAGGAAACACCCCCCCTGGCTCACAGGGTGTCAGGAGCAGGCCAAGCATCCTCCTGTGCCAGGCACAGTTGTGGGTGAGTGTCGGCCCTGGTCTTCCGGCTGGCCACTTGGCCAGGCAGAGATGCAGAGCCTGGGGCAGGTGCAGGGTGCAGGGTCAGCACCGGTCCCGGGGCGTCTCCCTCCAGCTTCTAACCCCTACTTGCAGGACTCGGGGGGGCAGTGAGGCTGCTTGGTCAGGGCCAGCAGCGCTGGCCAGGGTCCCCCCACTGGCCTCGGACCTCACATGGCCCCATATGACCACCACCTCGGGCTCAGGAAGGGTGCCAGTTAGACTCCAAGGAGGATCAGCTCGGGGCCACTGACCCAGGAGGGGCTGGAAGGCGAAGGGGTCCAACACAGGGGAACACAGCTCCCCTGCCCCTTGCACCAGCCTCCCCAACAGCTTCTTTGAAATTTGGGAGTGTCTTTTGTATTCCAAAGGCCAAAGGGCCACGCTTGCCTTTAATTAAAATGCACGTCCTTTAATTAAAGGCCCTGTAACACATGAAGGGCATCCACTGAAATAGGATGTGTGACACAGTCATTTCCCTGCTGTTAATTACTAATTAATGAAGCTATTTCAATTAATAGCTTCCCCACCTCACTCCCCCTTTGACAGGCCCCGCCGTGCTGGGGTGCGTCCTAGAATCAGACACCAGCTCCCGCACCAGCAGCCATGCTGAATATTCATGCCACGACCTCAGTGCTTTTCAATTAAAGATAATAAAATAAATCCCAAAGTGAATCCCAGCATGGAGCTCATCTCTCCTTCCTTGGGCACCGGAAGAGGGTGACCGGATGGCCCACCGCAGATGGTTGGGACGGAGCATGGCCTGGGGAGGGACGACCCGCTGGGGGGGATGGTGTCCAGGAGTCCCCAGGGGGCAAGTGGGGACCCCCAGGGCACTGTAGTCCTACAACTGAAGGACAAAGCCAAAAACGGGAGGGTCAAGGAGGGTGGCCCAGAGAGGTGGGGGGCCATCCACATGTTAATTATGAATCTTAAGTGGCCATTAAAGATCCTGGTTTAAAGAGATAGGGAGGGGTGCCTGGGTGGCTCAGTCTTTAAGCGTCTGCCTTTGGCTCAGGTCATGGTCCCGGGGTCCTGGGATCGAGCCCCACATCGAGCTCCCTGCTCCGCGGGAAGCCTGCTTCTCCCTCTCCCACTCCCCCTGCTGTGTTCTCTCTCTCTGTCTCTGTCAAATAAATAAATAAAATCTAAAAAAATAAATAAATAAAGAGACAGGGAGGGGCGCCTGGGTGGCTCAGTCGGTTGAGCATCTGACTCTTGACGGTGGCTAGGGTCATGATCTCAGGGTCGTGAGATCCAGCAGGGCATCAGGCTCCGCTCTGAGCCTAGAGCCTTCTTGGGGTTCTCCCTCTCCCTCTGCTCCTCCCCCCACGCCCCCTCCAGCTTGCACTCTCTCTCTCTCCTCTTCTCTAAAAAAAAAAAGAAAGAAAGAAGGGAAAAGTGTCTCTTATGGTGACCAGGAGGGGTCGGTCCTGCATGGTCCTGCACGTGGATGGGAGACGAAGGGAGGGCACCGTGGGCAGCAGCCTGGACCAGCCCAGAAGGGACATCAGATGGAGGCCATTGTTCCCACAGTCCCTGCTGCTACTTGCTCAGGTGGGAGGACGACCCCCCTCGAGGAGCCTGTGCCCCAGAGGACCCAGGGTCCCCAGCCCTGGGGAAGGGATGGAGAGGGTGAGCCCTGGAGCTGCACTCTGTGGCCAGTAAACGTGGGGGCGGAAATCCCGTGTGCAGGAGTCGCCCCAGCCCCTTCCCGGCCCCGCTGTGGTGGCCCGCTGCCCGCCCGCCCTTGCCGCACGGTCCCCCGCACCTGGAACCTCCTTTCAACAGTTCCCACCAACGGAGCCGAGAGCTAGGAGCACCACCCGACACAGGCACTGAGCAGCCAGGGAGGGAGGGTCCCCGCGCATGTTAGTGGCGGCTGGGGACACTGCTCAGGACGGGCCGGCTGGACACGGCCCTGTCAGACGGCGCCCTCTGTTGGCCAGCTGTGGGCGGCAGCCGCCTAGGCCTCCCGAGGGGCCTCCAGGTGCCGGCGGCCCAGGTGCATGCCTGCTCCCGCACCGCGGTGGCCCGAGCCCCTCCTTTGGGCAGTAGGCGGCGAGCTGGGTTTGGTGTGTGCCAAAGGAGGCGGGCACACCTCTACGCCCTTGGCCCTGCTGCTTCTGACCCCTGTCGCCGCCCGACCCTGGCCCCGGGCCCCGTCAGCCAGTGGGACGGGCTGGAGCTGTTGCTGGGGCAGGGATGTGTCCGAGCCCGCGGGCAGCAGCTACCACACCGCCCAGGGCTGCCCTCCCACCCTGCCCAAACACCCTCTTGGCTACCAGCACCCTCCCTGCCGGCAACCATGTGCCCCAGACTCGGTGGAGCCCTGACCGAGGCCCAACATTGGCCTTGAGAAGGGGTAGGGAGAGCACACCCAACTCCAGGATGGCATTCCAGACCAGGAACGGCAGTGCTGGGAGGAGGCCGGGCCCCTCTGCTCGGCACCAGGCCCGTGTGCCCCCAGATCCCACGTGCCAGCCTCCCTCCTCCAACTTTGAGGAAGTGACTGAAGGGGGACTCAGTGTGGTGTCCAGGAGGCCTGGGGCCTTTGTTTACATGCATGTCTCTTAGGCTCCCCTTCTGAGCAGACCCACCATCACCTCCTGGGTCCCACATTCCTTCAGGGGCTCAAGGTCCAAGACCCTGGAAGACTGAGTAACTGCGGAAAGGGCCACCTCCTCACTTGGGCTCTCAAAGAGTTTACGGCTCACTGTGGGTTAGAGACACCCATGTTCTCAGCAGCATTATTCCCAGCAGCCGAGACGTGAAAACAAACCAAGTGTCCATTCACAGAGGAATGGATGCACAAAATGTGACCCATCCACCCAGTGCAGTATGGCTCAGCCTGAAAAAGGAGGGAAATTCTGACACCTGCTACCACGTGGAGGACATTACGCTCCATGAAACAGGCCAGTCACTGAAGGACATACCGCGTGAGGGACCCAGAGCCGTCACAACCATAGGGACAGAACGTGGACTGGGGGGGCCGGCAGCTGTGGGCAGGGCAGGGGAACGCTGTTTAATGGGGACAGAGTTTCAGTTTGGGAAGGTGAAAGGTTCCGGAAAGCCTGGTGGGGACAGCTGTGCCGCAGTGTGGCTGCGCTAGCACCCTGCTAGGCACGCGGGAAGAGCTCAGCTCCTGTGTCCGAGGACCTGACCATGCTTGGTGCTGCAGGACGTCCGCCGCGGGAAGTCTCAGGGGCTGGGGTCCTCCGCCACAGGGGTCGCTCAGGAAAACCTCCAGCCGAGGAACTCGAGGGCCTTTGTGGTAAAGTGACATTCCTAGGGCACCTCCATGAACAATCGGGCCAAAGCCAGGAGGCCAGACTCGAGTTTGGTAATCAAGAATCTTTCTTTTGGGTTCTTTCTGATCCAAAGTGGGGACAGTGGAGGGAGAAACAGGGAAAGCTGCCCGCCGTCCTTGTGGAGTACACCCGGGCCCTGCGGCCCAATTCTGTGGGTGCCCGCGGCAGGGGACAGTCCACTGCAAGGCCGGCGGCTGGGTCCCGGTGGGAGAGTGGCACCGCCTGCCCCATCCCCGCTCCCCTGCTTGGTCGCCTCCACCCTTCTGCAACCTCTGCCGGCTTCCTCGGCTTCCCTGCAGTGAGCCCAACAAATCTTTGCTGCATGTTATTCTTTTTAAAAAAGTAAGAGTAACAGTCTTCCTTTTCCAGTTTAATAGCCATCATTTAAATAAGTCTGGGGTGATTTTTCCACATTCTTAGATTCTTTTTTCTACGTATACATCTTGCAGGATCTGTTATTAATTCCCGAGATGACCAGATCCTCTGTTAGGAGAGAAGGACGATGCTGGAGGGCTCCCTGGCCCTGCGGAGCGCCCTGGGCAGGAGAGGGACCCACAGTCCCCTTACTGCTGGCATCAGTGGGCCCAAGGGAGGCAGAACACTTCACCAGTGCCAAGGGACCCACGGGGGATGTCAGGCGGGTCCCCAAAGATGGGCAAGGGCGTCTAGCCCACGGCCCACACACTGGACTTGGAGAAGCAGAAATGCCACTAACAGCCCCTAAAAGCCCCTAACAGCCTTCATGAGAGCTGCAGGTCCCACCCAGGGCAGCTCCCCTGGGGACATGTGGTGATGCCAGGAGCCAGTGTTGGTTGTCATGACTGGGGGGGTCACCTAGTAGATGGGGGCCAGGGATGCAGCCCCAGTGCACAGGACAGCCCCCCTCACCCCACGAAGAATGATCTGGCCCCACATGCTGAGAAGCAAAGCAGAGCAGGTCTGGGGGGAAGAGTCCAGCCCAGCAGTGCCCAGCCCCTGCAGTGACGGGCAAAGCTCCCACCATGGTGACCTCAGGGGCACGTGGATCTACACAGAACAGACTCTGTGTAAACAGCCACTACTAAAAACACTAACTCCACTCACCCCTGACAGTCCACGAACGCTGAGGGGAGGGCACGATCACCCTCGGTGGAGAAAATGAGGCCCACCCAGGGCAGCCCGGCTTGGCTAGGTCTCGCCTTCCCCCTGCTCACACATCTGGGGTCAGGAGTGGGAGGCTCTCAAACAGAGCCCGTCACCCCAAGGCAGACAGCACTGAAGGAACGGTCAGGCTGGGGCAGCTAGAGGTCCTCGTGGGTGGGGCTCAGGTCCACTCGCTGGGCCTCTCCAAATAGCAGGAAGGTGCACAGCCCCAGGCTGCTGACGGCAGCCACCAGGTTGAACATGGACGTCCAGGAGCCTGTGGTCTCGATGAGGTAGCCCCCCAGGCACACGCCCACGACACCTGCAGCAGATGGGGGCAGACAGGCCAAGCGCTCCAGGGCTGTCCTGAGGGCATTGCCAGGGAGGGCACCTGGTGGTGGGGTTCCAGGACGGGAGGCCAGGGGCGGCCTGAGGGACAGAAGCCAAACTCAGGGGTCCAAGCCGCCAGGCAAAGGGAGGGCTGGCATCAGAGGGTCTCAGAAGGCCAGAGACCTCACCGGCTGCCCAGGAAAATGACCCTTACAGGTCCCTCTGCACCCCCCAGGGGGAATGAGCCCCATCATTGTCATCCAGGCACTCAACCCCGGGAACCCTGGGCCTCGAGGATTTGACTCACATCGGTGGGTCAAGTGGGGGCTGGGGTACGCACCATCAGAAAAGGGAACCACCATGGAAAGTGGCTGGGTTCTCGCCCTGGACCAGCTCCATGAGCTGCACTCTCCCCCTCCCCACTGGTCTGGCACCGTGGGACCCTTGATGGTGCTATGCCCACCCTGCAGGGCTGGGGTGCGCAGGGGGTGGGAAGACTCAGGGGCGAGGCTGCCAGGAGGCACCCCAGCCCAGCCCACCTCTCACCTGCCAAGGCCCCAGCTGTGTTTGCCACACCTGTGAACAGGACAGAGGAAGAGAGCAAGGACTGGTCACAGGAGGCCCCCCTACCCGGCGGCAGCCCTGGGGGCCCAGGGAGGGGGCAAGGCTGGGTGAGCCATGCAATGGGTGGGGAACGCCACTTCCTATTCAAACAGCGACCAGCGGTTCTCACCAAACAGAAAGCCGGCACAGGATGGGGCCAGGTCCTGGATGTTGACCGAAATGCCGCTGTGGGAAAGAGGAAAGGGGTGACCATGGGGTGGCTGCCACCCCCTTAAGCCCAGGGCTGGTCCTCTGAGCACCTGGAGCCTAGAAACTGCCACGTGGGTACTCAGAACCCAACCCAGCCAAGGCCTGCCCGCCACGCTGGGGCACCTGCCACGCCAGGGCTCGAGAGCACACCAGGGGGGCACAGCCCCACTTGGGCCATCGCGCCCACCTGGCTGTCCCACTCCCACCATGACGCAGTGCAGGAATCCACCACCAGGATGAAACAAACAACAGCGGGCAGCACGGGGCAGCTCTGGTGGGAGGGGCGCCCAGCCCTTGCCTGTGGTTGAAGGTCTGCAGGCCAATGGATGCTGATGCAAAGACCACGGATTTACAGAAGCTCGAGGTGTGACCCAAACACAGAGCAAAGACGCTGGACAGCCCGAGGCCCATCACCTGCGGGAGAGAGGGTAGGTGGCAGGGCACGGGCCATGGTGGACACCGGGGGTGCCCTGAACAAGGTCCGGGGGGAAAGCCCCTCCCAGCCTGCCCCGGGGATTCGTGACACAAGACTCCATGATCAGCCAGCCCCACTGGTTGGACTGAGGGGGAAATGCGAGTGACCAGGCCCAGACACGTGTGCCAGGGCTCAGGGACACAGAGAACCCGAAACACAGCTGGGAGAAGCGCCTCAAGTCAGCCAAGCCAGCCCCCAGCACTGACCCAGGGCACCCTCCAAATGCTCTCTGGGTTGGGTGACTGGTGACACCCCTCGGGTCCCAGGAACCAAGTAGGGGTGTCCAGAGAGGCCCATCCCACCCTCTCCCTACCTGCATGAACTTCCGCACAGCGATGGTCCTGTAACCTGAGCAGAGGGAGACGGGAGGATGGTCCCATTGGCCCATTTGTGCTGAGCCCCTGAGGGCCCCTGATGGGGTCCCAGCCGGCGCTGCTGCAGAAAGGGAGCAGGGAGGGAAGGGACGGGCCCTCGGCTCAAGGTGGGGTGTCCTGTGTCGTGTAGGAGGCGTGTGTACACGCGTGTGAGCATGTACCTGCCCTGGGGGTCCTGTGTCCCGGGTGTGTGCGTGTGCGCATGCACGTGTACACGTGTGTGAGCGCATGTGCAAGCGTGTGTACCCTGCACTGGGCATGCACCTAGAGGACCCTCTAGGACACAGCCAAGCAGACGCACAGAAGGAAGCCCGCTGGGGTGGTTATGAATGTGCTTTCTTCACGTTTCTCCAAACCCTCTCTATTTCTCCCCCCATGAGTGGGTAGCAGTTTTGTAACTAGGAAAGGACTAACATCTAAGCATGCATGTCTGTGAGTTCCTCGTCCTCGGGGGTGTTCCCTGGGGCCCTGGGCTCACACACACAGCCCACCCGGACCTACGACCTCTGACCCCACCAAGTGGCCTTTCATCCTCTGCAGAGGGTTGGGGCTGCATCCAGCCCCCGGGGAGGAGCTCTGCAGTCACAGGACTTGGACCCTCTCACGGCACCCCAAACCCCTCAGGGAAACTGAGGCTGGGGGAGGCCAGCTCTAAAGGGATGGGGTCCCATGCTGACAGGAGGTCCTTGGGGGGCAAGGCGTCTCCCATCCCTGTAGAACCCCCCAGGAAGGGTGCTTCCCACCCCCCGAGTGTGGCAAAGCCGGGCTGGTTCCCAGGGGCCCCTCCCCCAGGGCTCACCCTGATTGATAAGATGGTCAGAGAGAAACCCGCTGAACAGACTGGCGGGAATCGCCACCAGCCAGGGCACCACGTTGAAGACCCAACCCTGCAGGGAGGAGGGAGGCCTCAGAGGGGACAGTCTGCATGGGCCAGGTGGCTGCCCACGGCCACCGATGCCCAGGAAGGCTCTCCCCGCCCACAGGCTGGGCTCTCGGGCTCGGGGGCCTCCCTGGACCTGACTGTCCCCCACCCTGGCCGAGCTCCAGGTCCACTAGTGCTGTCTCCCCGCAGGCCGCATCTCCCTTGTGGCTCCCCACACCGTGACCGGGCTGAGCTGGGGGTGCAGGCCCACCCTGGGGATGTGCTGCTTAGGGGGTCCTGGTCACCAGATGGGGAGGGTGGCCAGACGGCCAGGCTGGTGTGAGCCAAGCTGACCAGCAGGGGACACCCCTGCCTGCCCATGTCATGACCCCCGCCTGGCCCATCCTCAGAAATGACCATCCACAGACTGGCCGCTGAGCCACAGGAGCGGCCGCACACAGTCCATCCTGGGAGTGAATGCTGCGGGGGCGGCAGGAAGCCACCCTGTCCTTCCCCAGCACGCACCGGCCGGAGGTGCCAGCCGTGAGCTTGGGTGGGGCCATCGCAGGGCCAGAGCCCACAGCCAGAACTGACAGATTCCAGGCAGAACCAAGGGCCCCTGTGCATGCCAGGCACTGGCTCTGTGGCCCTCCCTCGCCCTGTGAGCGCCAGGGTGGCCCACCCACCTTGGAGCTGGGGAATGTCTCCTCAAAGAAGGTGGGCAGCCAGGAGAGGAGGATGAAGAAGGAGCACGCAGAGGACAGCTGGGAGGAGATGGCCGCCCTGTGGGATGGGTGCCGGGCTCAGGGTCCACACACCCTGGCCCCACGCACGGGACCCCCTGAGCACCGCCCCCACCCCGCGGCCAAGGGCGTGGAGCTCAAGAGCTAGGATGGGGCGGGGGGACCCACGCCCATATAGGCTCCTGCGGGGACCGTGCCAGGGAAGACCCGAGATCCGCCAGACTCCACCCCGTCCCACCGCACCCCCCCACACACTGTGGTCCCGAGACACTGGCTTACCAGACGGAAGGCTTTCGGAAAAGCTGTCTCCAGGGAACTTTGGTGTGCCTGGACACTGGCACACCTTGCGCCAAGACACCCAAGGCCAGGATGAGATCTGAGGGGAGCAAGGTGTTCCCACGTGAAAGCTACTCAGAATCGGATGACAGCATCGCTCACAGCCGACCGGCTTCTGGGGGCAGCTCCTGAGGGCCAGAGCCCCGACAGCCCTGTGGCCCTGCCTGGCTGTGTGTGGGTCCCGCCATGCCATCCTCCTGGCGAGCATCTTGGGTTGTCGGCATTTACCGTTGAGGGTCAACACTTGTGTTGAGTCTGAACAATGTTTCTCAGCCCTTCCCCTGCCCCCGGAGCCCCCAGGCCCTGCTTCCTGCTGTCCTCAGACCAGCTGACCCTCCAGGCAGCCTGTGCCTGGCGGACAGCTGTCCCCGTGTGCCTGCGTCTGCCCGGGCACAGCTCTGAGGCCGGAACCTGGCCAGAGCCGGCCTGAGAGCAGGCGCTTTCCTCAGGCTCCAGACGGGGCGAAGCCGCAGCTCGGGGTCCTGCGTTCAGCAGATGATGAGCGGCTACTGGAGCGGCTGGGCACTAGGCCCTCGCCCCTCCCCGGGCAGTCACCCACCCGACCACGGTTACCTTGTTCACTCAGCAGGTACCTGTACACGTAACACACCCACAGCAGGGTGAGCCCGCCGGAGAAGTAGAAGACACTCGGCCAGCCATACCAGTCCAGGAGCAGGGAGCCCACTGCCCCTGTCACCAGTGTCCTGGAGGACAGACAGCAGCGTGGCCATGACCCCGGGCTTCACTCAGGCAAGGCGACCCTCTGAGAATCCCCAACCCCCCCGTGGGAGCTTGTCGCCAGGGAAGCAGGCTCAGAAGCTCCAGTCTGAACATATTTTGTGAAGCATTTCAAGCATTTGGGGAGACTTCTGGATGCCTCGGACCCGGGGGGATGTGGGCACAGCCACGTGGCTGTGACGTGGCATGGAGGCCCTGCCTTGCTTTTAATTTCTTGCTTCCAGGCCTTCAAGTTGGCCTCCCATTGTGGTGTGGCTCCTTCTAAACTAAAAAAGGCTGCAAAGAAGAAGGGATGGTGTTGGGAACTCAAATAAAGCCTCCGTGTTGTCCAGCTTCACGGGGCAGACAGGCTGAAATTCTCAGATTTCTAAATGCAGAAGCAACAGAGCCCAGCACAACGCCCGGACACCCGGCGGCTCTGGGGTCCCAGACACCCCTGTGGGGCCTCCCCTCCCGCACGCCCGGCTGTCTGCAGAGCTCCAGCCAGGACGGTTAAAGGAGAAGACAGAGGAAAGAAAGCGGGGCCAGCAGGCCTGGGGGGCGCCTTCCCCTCAGCCTCCGTGGGCAGAGTCTTTCCCTGTGCATCTCAGTGCAAGACATGGGCCCAGGGCGCCCAGCTGAGGCGGGATTTCAGGAAAACAGCACATCCTTCTTTGTGCAAGTTTACCCCATGCAGCTTATCCAGAATTCCCGTTCCACTGGGCACCCTGGCTTTTTATTTGGGCTGCCACTGGGCCATCCACGGGCACCCCCGACCCTCTGATTTTTTGCCTACATCCTGGAGGCAGTGACGTCAGAGGCCTGAGCCGAGGGGCAGCGAGGCCCCAACAGCACAGCAGCATGGCCCTTCTCCCCGAGCAAGGCCTCCATGCGGGAGCACGGGAATTACATCTGGACCACGGCCACTGCCCCATTCCCCAGCGGACGGCACCCCTCTGGCTCCCCCAGCACAGATAAAGGGGCCTCGGTGGAGTGGCCGCTGCCCCAGCCCACGTGCCGTGCCTCAAAGCCACACCACCCGCCCAGGCGCCGGGGACAGGACATGCACAGGGAAGCACTTTGCACAGGGAAGGCAGGTCTCCCGCAGCACGGAACCAGCCGCCCGCATCACCCTGAGCCACAAGTGTGCCCACATGGGCTGTCCCTGCCTGGACCCCCCGGGCACACCCTCTGTCCCCTGGGCTCCCTGGGCCGGGACTTACCCGAACTGGGAGCCAGCCCCCACGGCACTGTAGGTGAAGGCTCGCTCGCTCTCTCGTACCTTCTGGGACAGCAGGCTGGTCAGTGCCGGGAAGTACACGCCTGAAACAAGCGGAGAGCTGTGTCCCCCAAGTGTCCCCCTGTCAGCTGGGGTCAGCGAGGGTGGCCAGACAGGGCTGGGAGCCAGGCTGGGAAGCTCCCCGGGGCCCGTCCAGGACGAGTCAAGTTTGGGGTGTCCTTCTGGCTCACCCCACCCCCAAGGGACCAGCAGGACTCAGCTAAAGACTCTCCGCGTGGGGGACAGCTGCGCTCATGGTCGGGCCACCAGCGCGGCCGTGGGAATGACCCTGACAGCGGCCTCGGGCCACACCAGCCCCAGCGTCCTGGCGCTGATGCCCACACTCATGCCCAGTCTCGCACCCACAGTGCACGGACAGCCCTGTGCAGCCGCAGTGCCCCACGTGACCTTGCCGTGCGCGCCACCAGCCGTTGCCCTGGAGGGTGGGGAAGGGAGCTTGGCCCTTCCCTGTATATTTCCTTACAACTTCCTGTGAGTCTACAATGATTTCAAAATCTGATTTTGCGGCTCCCTTTTCTATGCTTTTCTCTAAAAGCACCAGGAAAAGCTAAGAGGCCAGGGGGTGAGACAGGGCTTGGCCTTCCCATCAGGGCCCTGTCCCCCAGCCCACGCCAAGTGCCACCAGTCACCCAGAGTGATGGCTGCCCCTCGAGCCCCCGTACTGGGTCACAGACCGGCCTCCCAGGAAGATGGGTCAGGGCCACTGGCTGGGTGCCCAGACAGCCGGCTCCTGCCCAGAAACCCCAGCCAGTGTGCGACAGCCCGGCCACAGGACCAGCCCCAGGCCACGTGTGGGGCGCGTGGGGTGAACTCACAGGAGCCGACTGCCCATGAGCCAGACTGCTGGGGCAGGTCAGCAGATCGGTAGCAATGTGGGTCCCAGGGGGCTGGGCCAGGGGGCAGCCTCTGCCCAGCCTCACGCAGACACTCAGCAAGTCCCCACAGTGCCAGGGCCAGTGGCGCCCACAGTGCCCATGCACCACGCTGGCTGCCGCCCATGCCTCTGGAGCAGCCTCTCTGGCAGAGGAGGGATCCGACATTAGAAGGTGCCAGACTTGGCAGCATCTCTAGAGAAGGCCCGGCGCTGCGGCGTCAGACTGGCCCGGCGGCCACCCACATACTCTGTGCCCCTACTCCGTGCCTGGGCCACACTGCCAGCCCGCGGCTCCGGCGACCTAACCGCGGCCACACAGAGCCGCTGACACCCTCCTCTGGTGTAAGGCGCGCCACACGCGGGAGCACACGTGAGGACATGTGTGTGCACACACACCCGGGGACAACGCGTGTGCACTTGCCTTGCTCTCCCACAGCTGAGACCAGGTAGCCCTACCTTGGAGCAAACCCGTGAGGATGCGAGAGAAGGTCATGAAGAACAGGTGGGCGCTGCTGAGCTGGGCGAGCAGTGGGGTGGCGGCGGTGATAATGCCCCAGGCGGAGGCGGACAGCAGGATGACCTTCTCACCACCGATCCTGGAGGACGACAGGAGGACAGTGACGGGAGCTGTGCAGCCGGGTGGACAGGCAGGCCGGGAAGATCCTGCCCAGGGGAACCAGGGTCCGAGCCTGCTCAGAGAGGCCCCGGGCTGGGCACGGCTGCCTTGTCCTCCTCTGCCTAAGAGGTGGACGGTAGGCACACAGCTGAGCCTGTCCGTCTGTCCCAATAAGCACCCCACTGGGCTGCCGGGGGCTCCTCAGGGTGCTGGGCACCTACCCCCCTCCAACCGCCACCCCCGTGGAGCTCAGCTCTCCCAGGTGATGTCTTGTTCTGGGGGGCCCTTCCCCACACTCATTCTGTAGGAGCCACCGCCCCCGAGGGCGGCCCCAGCCCTGCATGGGGAGCAGTGCTCCTCACCGGTCCCCCAGGTGGCCGCCCACCACCTGCGTCAGGCAGTAGCCCCAGAAGAAGCTGCTGAGCACGATGCCGGCCTCCTTCTTGTTCCAGCCAAAGTCCTGGCTCATGGAGACGGTGCACACGGGCATGCTGACGCGGGCACAGTACAGCAGGCATGTGCCCAGCAGCAGCGTCCCTGTCCACACCTGGCATTCGGGCCTGCAGGACAGAAGGGGCCGAGTCAGGCCCAGAGGGGCAGCACGGCCGCCTTCAAACACCTCCGCCCCCTGTCCGTGGCTCCGAGAGCACGGGCCAACCCTGGAAACAAGCCGCTCGTGGCAGCATAGGCTGGGAACAGCCGGACGGCCAGCAGAAGGGCAGGTAAAACAATTCTCCCCACACCTGGAGGATTGTACTCCGGGACTGGCTGTCAGGATCCAAGTACCCAGCTCCCATGCAGCTGACAGCTCAGCAACCCGCCCAGGGGGCCCCGGGGCTGAGACCGAGGGAGGGCCTCCCACAGGGTGGGAGCAGGAGAGTGGGTCCCCAGAGGATCCCCAGGAAAGTGGTGTCTGCCCAGCAGAGGACATCAGGGCAGGCGGTGCTGGGCGGCCAGCAGGGGGACACAGCGCTGTTGGGGTGGTTGGCTCTTGGAGAACCTGGGCAGGGGTGAAGCACCACTGGCTGCCAGGGGAGGTGGCCAGGCAGGTGTGCATAGAGGGACGGTCCTTGAAACTCCTGGCCCATGCTCTGTGACTGTCCCTGAGACTAGGGAAGTCAGAAACTGCCCCAGCCAGGAGGACATGACAACCCCATGCATGTGGGACCCCAGTGGGGTCCTGGAGCATCAAAACAAACAGCAGAAATCTCAACAAACGATGGGCTTTGGCTCCTAGTGCCAGGTGGACATTCGCTGACGGGACAAAGGCAGGACATGGACAGATGTGGTGGGAGGTACGTGGGTCACAGGGGACCCCAGGCCCTTCAGAGTGACTCTGGAAATCAGGAACTATCCTCAGAGACAAAACTGACTTTTCAACGACAAGAGAGGGAGGAGCTGTGGGCGTCATCCGAGAGGGTGGGAGATGGGCGGGGGCGCCGCAGGGGCTTGCGGTGTCTGGGGTGGCAGGCGTGGCACCGAGGGGCAGGTGCTGAGGACAGCGGAGAGGCCTGGAAGCACACTGACGGGGAGCTCAGGGGTCCCGCCCTCACCGGACGTCCCCAGTGAGGCACAGGGGCAGGCGGCTGGCTCCTCCCCAGGGAAGAATGACCTCCAAGGCCTGAGGGCACCTTCTTGCCTATGGGTGGTGCCCACGCCAGGAACTGGGTCACTGGGCCCGATAAGCTGTGCCCGCTACCCCACAGGCAGGCCCTGACCTGGCACAGGGCCCGCCGCGCTAGGGGAAGAGCTGACCAGCGGCACGTTGGGCTGCCCCCTCCCAGCAGGGTGGATGGCTGACCATAGGAGCTGTTCTGGGGACTCGTCAGGGGAGTGAGGGTTTGCACCTGCCATCCGTGCCCCCTGCCACGCTGGGGGCCGCAGCAGCCATGGCGAGCCTGCGTGCGGCTCTGGTTGGGGCTGTGGACTGGCCTCTTCGAGCCCATTGCCTCAGTGAAGAAGGGCTCATGCCCATGACATCTGCCTCCTTCCTGGGTCAGTAAACAGCGGAGTGACCAGCAAGTTCCTGATGTCCCCACAAGGAGTCATTGTCACTGCCCAGGAGGGAGGCAAGTCAACCGTGTCCACGTCCTCGGGCCGGCAGGTCCACGTGGGTCCACACCCCCTTGCAAACCACCGTGTTCTTTCCCACAATCAGAGAGGAGGACTCACTCTGCACGACCAGGCCTCCCCGGCCGCCACCCTCCACAGCCAAGAGCCGCTGCCCTCGGACAGGCCACAGTCCCATGAGCAGACACAGCGGACGCGAGTTTCGACAGAATCTCTCAGGGGTTTCAGGGTTCCAACAGCCCAGCCTGCTGTCCCCCAGCAGACCCATATCTGCAGGCCGGGCCCCGTGCGGGCTGGTTTGGGAACTCCGGGTCCAGCGTGCCAGCCAGCCCTCTATGGGCTGTGTGGTGTGCTGCAGTAGAGAAATCTGCAGGCGGAGAGGCTGGGGCGCCGCCTGGGCCCGTCCCTGGGCTGCCATCCCTCCACGTGCATGGGGAAGAGGTGGGACCAAGATTTCCGAGGGGTGCCATTGGTGGGACTCGTGGGCACCCCTCCGTTGTTCTCTGCACTTACACAGCAGTCCAGTGGGAAATAGGGTCCCGTGCTAAAAATATACCCAGTTCTGTAATTCCAGAAGCCGGACACCAGACCCTGCTTTGGCTGAGGCTGGGGGAGGGCGCTCCTCTCGGAAACTGCCCAGGGACCCCTCGTCATCATGCCCCACCCCCAAATGTTCCTGGAATGATTCAGAAGCCCGGACAGTGGGGCAGACCTGACAGGTGTCAGTGGCCTCCCCTACTGGAGATGCCAGCATGGAGGGGCGGCCCGCAGGGCAGCTCACCGGCTCTCCCTCTGGGCTAGTTTTCCTGCCAGAACTGAAGACCAGGAGGTGGTGGCAGGGCAGGGGGCAGGGGGCGGGCATCCATACTTGCTCAGTGCCCATCAGACACAGACGCGGGACCCCTCGGTGTTGAGACCACTGTGGGCTCAGGCACCCATCTCCTCCGGGGTTCCAAACTTGAAGATGACACCCCCGTCTCCCTGGTGCCCATCCCTGGGCCTTGGCCAAACCTGGCCTGTGAGCACCTCACCCCAAGTGTCCATCCCCAGGTGTTCATCCCGAGGGCAGCAGGCCTGTGAGCACCTCACCCCAAGTGTCCATCCCCAGGTGTTCATCCCGAGGGCAGCAGGCCTGTGAGCACCTCACCCCAAGTGTCCATCCCCAGGTGTTCATCCCGAGGGCAGCAGGCCTGCTACTTCTGAGTAGACGCCCCACTGGCCTCACCAGGGAGGCACAGAGCGACAGTCCAGACGGTTCGTCCGAGTCAGGCCAGCTGCCGGCCTGAGCCCTGTGGCTGCGGCTGGAGCCCCTGGGGGTGTGCCTGCTCGGCGGCATCACCACGGCTTCCAGATACCCTATGCTGGGTGGCCCCCGTGGGCCCGCAGTGTTCCTGCGCCCCCGTGCTCAGGCTCTCTGCAAGCGTCCATGTGCCTGCCCGAGGAGCTTTATTCCTTTCTGTGGTCAAAGCTGTGGAGGGTCACCTGCATCCAGCATGCCCACCTGGCCCTCGGGTGCCTCTCGCTGGTGACCGCGAGAGCCTGGGTGGGAAGTCCAGTCAGAAACACTGGAAGGCCGGCTGAGGCTGACCTGCTCTGGAAGGTTGGCCGGTACCTAGAATACGGTGCTGCCCCTTGGCCTCCTTATGACCACAGGACACCAAGGAAGGCCCCTCAGCGTGCAGGCAACCAGTCTGCTCTGAGCCCTGTGTGGGGCCAGGTGCTGTGTGCCTCCTCCTGGGCCCCAGAGGCCCCCCAGGCCCTGAGCTGGCGGGCATTGCCAGCTAGGCAGGCCAAGTGACTTCCTCTACAGCTGGTGGGGACACAGAACGAGGAAGTCTGGCTGCAGGCGGGGGCCCAACACAGACAGCTGCCCGAGGGCTGGTTAGCACGCCAGGCCCAGACTCCTCCATCCCACGGAGGGCTGCTTGGGAACACAGGCTACGGCAGGATGGGCCAGGAAAGCTTCATCCTGCTCACTTTGACTAGTCCTGAGCCTCAGGTCTGTGCCCCCAGCTCATCAGAATGCTTCCTGTGAACCTTCTAGAACCTTCTGCTTCCTGCCAACGGCTCTGTGCATGAGAAGCATCCATGGCTGAGCAAATGTGTGGTCACGTGCCCCTCCATTCAGAAAAGGGAAATGTGCCGGCGCTCCAGGCCAGGAGAGAACACACAGGTCCAAGGCCACTGGCTGCCCCCACCCCATGGATGCGGCTGAGAGGTGGCAGCCCTGCCTCCCGGGACCACGAGAGCAGACGTGTGGTTGTCGACGCAGAGGGCACGCCACGTTGGCTGCAATAAACCACCACGCTCACTGTGACTGATATGACTGTCCACTCAGGGGTGGGGTCAGCCTTGTCCCAGCTGAGCCCAGCTCCACCCAGGACCCCACAGACCTCTGGAGCTGGGGCGACCTCACCTGCCAAGGGCCTGGGGAGCTGCAGGTGCTCCTTCCTGAGCCAAGCACAGAGGGAAGAAGCTAAAGCAGGGCCAGCCAGAGCCATTGAAACAGAACCTGAGAGGGAAGTTTGCAGAACATTCCATAGCCCTGGGCCACAACCCTCTGCCCACATGGCCATGGAGCCTGGCCTGCCACCCTCAATAATCGGGACCGCGAGGAGGGAAGACGAGAGCAAGGCAGGCCGCAGGGCACTCCTGGACCCGGCCGTACCCCAGAGCAGAGTCCTATCCCAGTGGATGCCTGGAATGGAGACGCCCCGCTCCCCACACCCTGTCCTACAGGAAACTTCCGGCTTCTGAGGGCTACTTCGAAATGTCAGCCTCTCTCCCTCTTTCCCACTAGCTTTGCCCTCATCTTGCCCCAGCCTCTGGGGGGCGGGGTGGGGGGGAGCTGCCCATTAGGAGTTTCCTGCAAGCCTGTGCCTGGACGCAGGGGCAGGAACCAGCCGTCGCCTGCAGGGAGTGGGCTCCCTGGGCTTTCGGAGCTGGTGGACTGGCCCGGGGATCCCAGGGCCCGACTTTGGATCCAGGGTCCAGCTGGCTTGGCTGAGGGTAAGCAAGGGCTGAGGCACGGTGGTCTGGGAACTCCTCAGACAGTCCTACCTCATTCTTGGTTGCGGTGTGTCCCTGCCCTGGGGACTTCTGCATGTGGCAGTGGACGTGGACACAGAGTATAAAAAGGAGTGGGCGATCTGCCTAGGCCCCGCCCATGGAGACCTGTCCACACACACAGCTGGCAGGTGGGGGCAGGACTCAGCACTCCCCCTACCTCCAACGGGCTCCCTGTCAGGTGACCCTGTATGGCTCCTCCTTGCCCTCAGGTCTGGAAATTCGTGTGGTCCTACCTGGCAGGGGTCAGTTCTAGGACTCACAGCTGTGCCTGTGAGCAACCTCTCCACCACCCGGGGTGATGCCCCCCCCCCCAGGCAGACATCCCGGGATACCTCCTGCCTGCACAAGCCCAGGACCCTGGAGGTCCTGGAGAGGGCTCAAGTGGCACTCGCTGGCCCTGGGACTGGATGGAAGGGAGGAGGGTCCTGGGTTGGGTCTGGGTACTTGTATGCTGACTGCTAGGGAAGTGCGCAACCCCAGGTGGAGAGATGGTGGCCTCGCCCCCTCCCCAAGCCACCGCCCCGTCCCACACCTTGGCCCCACCTGGACCACTGGGCGTCCTCGGCCCCGTCCCTGCGGGCCTCCTCTGGCGGCGGCGGCAGCGGCTGCATGGGGGGCGGCCGTCAGTGGGCGCAGAGCGTCCAGGTCCGGCTCCTGCCTGGCCAACCCACACAGGCAGCACCGCCCAAGGCCACGTGTCAGTCCCAGCGGCGCTTCCGTCTGGCGCTCCTAGGACGTGTCGCCCCCGGACGGCCACCGCGGAGGGCGGGCGGCTGGGGCGGGGCACACCACTTGGTTCCCGCCCCCTGCGCTCTGCAGGCGGCTGTCAGGGTCCACCTCCCTGCTGCTCCTGGGGCTGCCTAGGGCCACTGGCATAGGCGGGGAGGGCGCGGGGTTACCTGCTGCAGGCTGGACAGACCCGACTGTGGAGGGGCTGTGGAGGGGCCGAGCCAGGTGGTCCTGGCTCAGGGCATTTGGACTTTGACCTTGGACACGTGCCCGTGAATTGGGGGATGGTGGTGGCTCCCCCCCACCCCCGCCCCAATCACAGGGCTATCAGCACTGGGGACAGTGAGAGTGCAAGCACAGGAAGAGCCAAGGGGAGCCAACTTTTAAGATGAATCTTTGGAGGTGGGCTCCAGCCCTGTCACCCTGAGCCAGCCTGCGCTGGGCGGCCGAGGGGGCAGCGTCCGCGCCGCAGGCGGCTGTGGAAGGGGTGGGTGCTCCCCACGAAGGTGTACGGAGCACGCAGGCTCTGCCAGGCCCCAAGCCCGGTCCCCTCACTCGTGGGGGGCTTCACGTGTCCACATGAAGGACACAGCCAGCACGGAGAGCAGTGTAGAGCAGTGTGCGTGCTGGGACCCAGTGATAAGGAGTGGACTCCTGGGCACACTGCACGTCCCCGCGCCCCGCCCCCGGCCTCGGTCCACCAACCTCGCAGCTGCCTGGCCAACCTTCCCAAGGCTTCTCACTGCCCTTAGAACCAAACCTGTTATATCCCCACAGCACAGGGCCCGCCGTCCCCACCCTCCAGCCACAGGGCTGATTCCCACCTTCCCCAGCCTGCAGAGCCAGCCCCACGGGGATGGAGCCAACCGACAGGGTCTCCCCTGTGGCCCCCCACCACGTGCACAGGAACGAAGGGAGGGACCAATCCATCTTTTGAACAGGATTAATAACTCAACGGTAGAGGAGCAATGAACTGTGTAGGATTTCACTGGAAACCAGAAAAATGAACTTTATGATAATAAATGATTTAATGCAATATCGGTTCTACATATGGAATTCCTGAAGGTTCTGGAACAGTTCGTTCTTTTCAAAGTGCTGGTGAGTTTACTATTTGAGTCTTGAAAACACTGCTGTTCAACGTCTGTTTCACACTAAAAATACGCCTGGACGCCCAGATATTAAGGACTCGCTGGGCCCATGAGTCTGGAGCCACGCAGGGACCAGCACTGCCCCCTCCCCCTGGGTCTGTGTGCTTCTGCTGCCCCCCCACCCCGCCCCCCGGGGACCCCTGCCGCCCAGCCGGGAGTTCTTGGGCCTTCTCGATGATCCTCAGGCTTGCTTCACTTTCAAAAGCCAGTTGGGAGAATGCCAGCTGCGTGACACCTCGGTCTGCAGCAGAGGAGACCCGGCCTGCAGGAGGAGTCTGGCCGCACGGCAGGGGGAGAAGCCCCGGGCAGGCAGTGCTCCGACACCTGAGTCCAGCAGTCCCTGTAGGCTCGCCTCCTCGTCCCCCGGCTCCAGTGCGGCACACAGCGTAGCACGCCCGCCTGCCTGTGCCGCATACACAGCTGGGCAGGGGGCCTGCAGTGTGACCTGCTTCAGAGTGCAGCCAGGTGGGAAGGTACGTGCAGATAAATCCACTGCCCCCACCTCTCACTCCTTCTGCCAATGATTTTGGTTGGAGCTGAGTATAGGAGTCCGACAGACATTCTTCTGTGCCACGGTCAGAACAGACCCATCCACCTGGCCTTCCAGCTGGGGGACTTCCCTACGTGCAGCAGTCTCAGCCCTACCACACGCTCCCTGCAACGAGAAAGACCTCTGCCCCGCAGGTGCAGCGATATGACAACCAGCTCACCCAGACCGCCCCCCGTCCCCCCGCCCCGAGGACCTCAGGCCACTGGAGCCAGGGCCTGGTGTCCTGCAGAGGCAGAGCAGCTCAGCCACAGACACCAAAGGCCCATCAAACCCTGTCTTCACATCCACGGCAGTCAGTCATGATGAGGATGGGAAAAGCACCTCCGTGGCATCTTGGAATTAAGGCACAACATCCAAGACAGGCAGGCCTCACGCACCGGGAACTGTGGTCCCAGCCAAACACCTCAGATGGTGTTGAGTGCAAAGCCACGCGCCAAGTGCTCTGCGTGGGGACATCCCCACGAACTGCCACACTGCCTCCTCCAAGGAGGGACGCGCTGGCGTGAAGAAGGGCTTAGATGCCGTCACCGCCTAGGCAAGAGTGCCGGGGGCTTCCTCCCCCTCTCCAGCGCCCACAAACCTGTGGGGGCTACAGCCCGTGATGCCGCTGCTCCGGCACGAGGCACCCTCACTCCCGCACTCACTGGAAGGCACTGGAAAGCTGTCACTCCAAGTCTCCTTCACGTGCCCCACAACTGCCCTTCACACGAGGCGCTAACGGCCCCGGCTGGCCAGGGCACAAGCCCTACGGGGAGAAGGGCCTGGCGCGTCCTACGGCAGCCCCTCTACTTTCAAAGTCTGGACATATTCATAAGTATTAAAAAAAATAACTTTTCAGGTTAAAATCATGCAGCAGGTGGCCCCAATCTATTTCCCTCACCAAAATGAAAGTTCAGGGCCACAGCTCTAGAGAACAGATGACAGATTTCAGAGGCGCACACGCGACACCGGCCGGGGCTGGTCAGAGGGAACAGAAGAGCAGCAGAGCACAAAGATGCGTGAGACTAAGGACCCTTCCGCCGGTCCTCACAGATGGGCTTCCGGCGGGACGTGTACCGCATTGAATACTTTATTCTTATTAGAATATCATCCTGATGGGGAAAAATACAAAAGACCTTCCAGATAACCCCTCTGAGAAAAACATAAAAGTTGTACTATGAAATTAAGAACAGGCAGCAAAAGCAACCTACTCTGCATTTTTCAGAAGATGCTGTGGTGGGCACACATGCCCTCAGGAACAAAGCCGACTCGGAACCAGGGGTGCAAAGAGGCTCATACAAAAGTCACATGACCAATGCGGACAATACAATTTACTCTTAAATCTGAAAAAGCAACGCATTTCTGAAACAGAAACATACCCGCTGTAAAAACAAAGCACGTGGTGTCAGAATAAGCTATCAAAATGCTGCACCATAGGGCTTCTAAGGCTGCGCAGCCTGGCCCCCGATGTCCTACTGTGCACGGCTCAGTGTCTCCGGCGGCTGGCAGGCAGCCGCCCTGATGGTTTCGGTCTGGCCTTCTGCTCCTGCTGGGACTCCATGTTAACTCCCAGAAGCGGGTCCTGCCCCATTACCCCAAAGACAGCATTGCCTTTAACACCAAATGTATACAGTTCTTTCTGAAACCCCTGGCTCCACCCCTCCCCCAAGTAACACTGTCCAAGGAAACAGACCTCACCCTGCCTGACAAAGGCTGCCCTCGGAAAAGGCATCCTGACTGCAGGGAAGAGCCACCTCCTTGTCCCCAAGGACTCACACACGGGGCCTTCAGTCCATCCCAAAGACCAGTCCCAAAACACATCTGCCTTTTCTAGACCCTGGAAACCTTAATTCACATCGCAAAATATATTAGCTCTTGTTGGATGTGCAATAATCCCTATGCTGCATAAAGATTCCAAACTAGGGGTTATTCCTCACACAACTTCATGATATCAGGAACATAGAGTACCAGGATAGTCTCAAATTTTATTCATTTCAAGGCACTTTCCACAAGAAAACGTAAAAAGAATAATCTATGTAAAACATTACATTTTAATAAACACAACGGCAAGATCCAAAGGAGACAAGGAAAAATCAAATTATACTTAATGTTCATTATCTCAAAATGGCTTAATTTAGTTTGCCGGCTGAAGACACAGAGACTGCAAAAAGGTGGCAAACAGGAAAAGTCCACAAAGCCACTCCTGCTGAAGGAGGTCCCCAGACAGGGACAGCGCAGGAGGCGTAAACCCAAACCCGGGCCGCAGACAGAAGCAAAGACGACAGGAGCACAGCTGAGGGTCCCCATCACACCGCACGTGGCTCCCACTAGCGGAAGCACCGGCCCGTGACGTCACTCACGGCCCCAACAGGTGGACGTGCACCAGCACTCCGTCCTACAGCCGCTCACATTTCCTGCGCGTGACAAACCCCGTCCAGGCCCTGATGGCTCATGGGTGGCTCCCACATACAGAACTTCCCGTCACTACGCATCTGACACCCTCTAATGTGAAGAACGTGTCAGGGTGATTATATATTAATTATGCATGTAAATGATCTTATATACACGACTAACAAAAGCTGACTAGAAACATGCTAAATTCTCTGGTGCTTTACAAACATGTAGGTTTACCCACACCTCTCTGCTGGTGTTTTCTCTTCCAGCTTCTGCTCTGTGTGACGATTAACTACGTGAAGATTAAAACCTTCTGCTCTTAATACCCTCAAGCCTCAGAGGAAATGGCCCCAAAGAAAGGTCACATTCGGAGAGGACTGTTGAGCCGGTCAGAGCGGAAACACGTCCGCTCCTGGGCGTCAAGAAGACCCCCCCCCACCCCCCGCCTTCCATCCTCACAAAACCACAAGGGCAGCAGAATGGCAGTCAGAGGCCAGGACAGCCCCCAGGGCCTGCACCACCTTGCCTCTGCATCGGTGATCACCCAGGGCAGCCAACCCTGCCCCAGGCTCCTGCCCACTGGAGAAAACCACTGCTCCCAGAGCGCAGGTGGAAAGCAGACGGGGAGTGAGAAGAGCTGACGTGACAGCCCTTCACGATGCTGCCCAGGTCTACAGGCAGGTGGGGACGGGGCCCAGCGAGCAGACGCACACCACCTGACCTACGGGCATGGCCACAAGCCTGCCCAACCCTGCCTGACACAGGAACACGCTCCCTGCGATTCGGCTGCCGTTGGCATCTACCTCCACAAAGCCCCCGGTGCCAGACTCCGTCCTGGCACCAGGATCCACCCAGGGAGGACAGAGTCCCAGCCACCGCAGCAGCTGGGAGCTCCCACCAGAGGACGTGTGCTCCCGGGCACCGTCACCACCACGAGACTTGGCTCTGTAGCCGTCGCCCTACAGAACCTGTGCCCAGTGGCACCTGCAGTGAGTCCACACACACGTGTTGGCACTCCGAGTCACAGGGGCACCTGCGTCCCAGCACCTGCACCAGTGGCAAGACCTGGGAAAGTGCAGAATGAGGACGCCTGGGAACTCACAACCACCACGAGACAGCGAGCACACACCAACCTGTGGTGCCAGCCCCCTGAGGCAAGCACGCGCTCCCAGCCAGGGAACCTGCGGCCCAGGTACAGCCGGCAGCACGGCGCTCCCTCCCCCCGCCGCATCTGCTCCCAAGCATGCGGGGGCCACGCCAGGCCAAGGGGCCCTCCGGCCGCAGGGATGAGCTGATGCCACTGCCATCACCACCAGGACATAAGCCCCAAAAGCAACAGGTTTGAAAGCAACAGGTTTGTTTGAGATGATTAAAACTTTTTACAGGCCATTTTGGTCATTCTTGAGATCAAAGAGAAACCTTTATTTTCAACAAAACTGCCTAGAAGAGAAGGTTCATTGATCCACTAGGAAAGAGTCTCTCACCACAACCAGCACCAAAATATATATTTAAAAAATTAAAAAACACACAGCCCCACCCCTCACGCACACATCTCCCCAAAAGCCACACAACCCAGACCAAAAGGGAAAACAAATCAAACTCAATGCCCTCACACAAAAGAAGTCTTTGAATTAGGATTTACAAATTTATATAGTCTTTCCTATGAAAAAACAAAAACAAAAAACCAAGGGGTAAGAAAAAACTTCTGCACAAAGGCCTGACGAGTCTTAGGAGATCTGAGAAAACGTATGTTCTGCCTACAAGCTAACAGAAAGCAAAATAACGATCAGTGCTTTTCATAGATTTGAGTGGGAGGCCTCAGTTTAACAATATGCCCTCATAACCATGCACTCCGCGGCGGGTGCGATCCTGCAGGAGCCCAACAGCAGGAGCGCGGCCCATCCACACCTTCAGAGCACGCCCCGAGCAGTCTGCATCACACTTCCAAAGAGACAGTGTCATTCACTGCAAGTTTTCCAGCGCTCAAAAGGGCCATTTTTCCCTTTAAAAAAGATGCCGGGTCAAAAAACAAAGGTGGGGGGGCGGGGAGAGTTCTCTACTGCAGTAAAAACGTCTCAGTCCCAGACAGCTGCTCCGAGGAGTCCGAGCCAGGGAAGCACGGGGCCGCGGGCACAGACTCTACTTGGGCTCCTCGATCACACCTTTGCTCAGGTCTGTCATTTTGGGATATTTTACTTTCTTCTGGTCCAGCTCATTCTGAGCCCAAAGGAGGAGTTTCAGTAATTTTGCCAGCTTGGGTGTTGACTCACGATTTTCATAATCTAGTACAGCTTGGTTAACCTCACTCCACACCTAGAAAATAAATACATCCAATAAAAAACACCACACATGCAGAGCACCAGCGAGAGTCTGTTACCACGTGCTTTTTATGCCTCTTGGAAGCCGTTTTTACATGATGAACTCATTATTTATTTAGACGAACATGAAGCCCGTCACCAGGAGGCACACCAGCAGATGTTAAACACACGTTCCTCGCCCAGAAGGAGCACACGGTCCAGTCAGCAACGCTCCCATCTGGCCTGGAGAGCCGTAAAATGCCACAAGCCAGGCTCGGGGTGGCGGGGGGAGGGTGGGGTACCGGACGGGAAAAGAGAGAAGGCCGCGGCGGGTGTGACCCGTGTTCCACCGGACCCAGCCTCGAGGAACACCTGCAGCAGGCCTGCAGAGTGGCAGCCCCTCCGCCAGGAAAGGGCGCTGCCTCTGGGGGGGTCACGGGCCGGCTTGGGGACTGCGGCACACAAGTACCAGCAAGGATGTGAAAGGACTCACACGCAAATGAGGGATTTGAAATAAAAATGTTTAGGACACCTATTTCTGAGAGTCTCCAAACAAAGAGAAAGATTAAGATACAGGAGAAGCTACTGGGTGTTATGCACAAACGACGAATCGTGGAACACTGCATCAAAAACTAACGATGTAATGTATGGTGGTTCACATAACAGTAAAAAAATTATTAAAAAAAAAAAAAAGATACAGGAGAAGCTGACAAAGAGGTCTGAAAATCATAAAATAAGTCACAACGTTCCATTCCTGGCTTCACACAGTGAAAGATTCCACATCAGGGAAGAACAGATGCTGTTGTGACCAAGCGTCACTCGCCCAGACGTGGCCACACTGTGGTTCCTGAGCCGCACCCTAAACACCCACGGAGGGGAAGGAGGACCCCCTTGGCAGCCTTACCTTCTGCCTCTGCATCATATGAAGCAGGTCTCCAAAAGGCGACTCCTCAGGGTTATCAAAGGCCAGCAGGGCCAGAGTGCGCTCCATCTCCGTCAGGCACTCCCTGCTCTCCTCACCTTGCTCTGCCAGCTGGGTCTGCGCGAACTCCAGCGCCGCCTCGGTCTCACGCTGGCGGATCAGCTCTATGAGGTGCTGTTGCTGGTCACCGGCAAAGGCAGACAGGCTCACACACCCACGCCCGGGCACACAACGCCCGGTAGCGCAACACTACTTACTAGTCAAAGGACATCTTAAAGGACAACTTCCTAGCATCCCTGAATTACTAAAATAGCATTTTTTTAAACTTTATTTATTTGAGAGAAAGACAGAAAACACACAAGCGGGGGAGCAGCAGAGGGAGAGGAAGAGAGAAGCAAGCAGAGCCCAACCTCACAACCCTGAGATCATGACCTGAGCCGAAATCAAGGTCTCAAGGTTGGCTGCCTAAGCAACTGAGCCACCCAGGTGCCCCTAAATTGGCATTTTTAAAGCAAGAACAGCTTCTGAAATACGACAGACAACAGCTAAATGAAACCCCTTCCCCATGCAAACTAAAACAATACTCTATTAATGCAAGTTAGCCTTGTGACTTCTGAAATCGCCACATGTAACCTTATGGAGTATCCACAAACCAGATGCCTCGCAATGGAAACTCACTTGCAGGTGGAAGTAAAGGTACCGGTTTGTGTCCAGGAGCTCTGGATGGAGACTGTTGATCAGTGCAATAGCCTCCTGGATCTGGCCTTTCAGAATCATCTCACGGATTTTGATCCGCTCATCAAGTGTTTCTAGATCCACACTAGGTTCAATCCCAGATTCCATTCGAAACTTCTCTGCTGCTTCCTTAAAGCCCTCTGCAAATAACAACCATCTTCAGTGCTCGGAAAGCTAGCAAGATATTAATGCAAAGCATTTTTATCCCTACAAAGCCCATTCATCTCAAATAAATAACCTTCAACGTGACCCGCACTTTCTTAGGGATGTGGTATTAACATCTGTGACTTACTAGTACGCCCCATACAGAAAATGAAAAGAATGTATTTCACTCCTTCCCATCCCATCCAAAAAAGCTCTCACCTACCAGCCAGGGGTGAAAACGAATGCCACGAAGCCGAGTGCGTTAAGGGCTCCTTAAAGAGGGCTGCAGTGGCAGGCCCAGATGCAAGGAAGCTGCAGGTATGCTCCGGGCGTGTCTGGACACACTGGCTGTGCCTTCACGGCCTGCAGGGACCTGGCCACTCCTGCCTCTTTGTGAGCCCACAGTTCTCCTCAACATCCAAGTTGCGTGTGTGCGTCCCCGCCCCCCGCCCCCACCCCTGCCGGCTATAGGCAGACACTTCCTCATCGCCTTTCAAACAAAGGTTGACTAATTTGGTGAAGGGGAGTACTGTGAACAATGGGAAGGAGACTATACCTGTTTGAAACAACTGGATTTTCTGATCACGTACAGAATTACCCTTTTCCTTCCCAATATCAAGAAGAACTGTCACTTACAGACCCCGTTTCTTTGTTTCTGTATGCTTCTGCCCTTCCCCCTTTCTCTTTTGAGTTAGGTGCACCTTCTACAAACAGTCCTGTATAATTTACCAGACTGGCCAGAAGAGATCAGTTACTCGGGACTTTCAACGTACTGTAGAACATTCTTAATTATCTTAACTGTAAAAATGTCAAAGATCAAGGAACGGGTTTTTGCCTTAGAGCTCAGACACCTGTAATACCAATCTTATCTCCAGAAGACCTTAACTTTACTCTGGTAATCCACAAAGTTATTAAATTAACATGGTGTTTTCTACAATGCCCAAACACAACTTCACTTTCCCAAGGAACTTCAATGGTAAAGTGCTGATTGTGTGTACAAAAAGGCAGAGTTGCATCCCACAGGCAGCGTCCTCATTGCGAGCCCTTACCTGTGACCAGGTAGTTCATAATGAGGCGGTTCATGTCCGCCCGCTGGACATGCAAGTTATTGAGCTTCTCCATCCACTCATCTTTCGTGATTTCATCAGGTTTTTCTGCATAACTCATTCTGACTTATTTCTACAAGAAAAAAAATATTTTAAAGATTAGTGAAGATCACAGGAATAAAAGGTACGGGATAGGAAACACATTCAGTGGCACTGCAATAGGGCTGGATGGTGACAGAGGGCGGCTATACCTGTGAGCACAGCCCAACCCAGACAGTTGTCAAATCCCAACATTATACGCGAGAAACTAACCCAACACTGGCTCTCAACTACATTTCAGTTAAAAAAAAAAAAAGAAAGAATTTTTAAGAATTCTATGACAACTGTGATCGTTTCAGAGATAAACACAGAGACACGGTATGAAGTGACAGAGAATGGGAAGATTTAAATCTGGAGAACAGCAAGTGCAAAGGACCTGACACCCAAAGGCAGCTTAGGGACCAGAGAGGAGGCTGGGATGTTAGGAGACAGGATGTGTGCAAGGAGGAGCCAAGAGCCTCTGAGGTGCCAGGTCAGGAGGTGGGGCGTATCATACTGAGTAAGGCCTTACAGGCTGAGGGAGAATTTTAGGTCAATTCTCTTCTAGGCACAAAGGGCAGCCGCGAAGGGCAGGAGCTGAGGAGGCGTGCACTCTGACACAGTGCCCGTGAGAAGTCCGCTGCCAGACACTCACCAGACCAACCAACGCTAAGGAGTCTGACAATACCGAGTGTCGGCAAAGCCAGAGCGTTCCCTTGCATTCTCTGATGCTGCTGTCAGAGCAGACTGGAACTGCAAACATATTTGGCCTTCTCTGCACAGCTGGCACGTGCTCCTCGAAGCCCAGCAACCCTACCACGAGACTGAGACCCTCAACACTCACCACTGAGCACCAGACATGTATGAGCCCACTCACAGAAATACTGCTCAAAATGGCAAAAACATGGGACCCCCCACCCAGATGTTCATTCAATAGCAGCATGGACAGACTGTGGTTCACAGAACCACAATCCCAGGCCCAAAACCCTTCGGCAGGTATGTTTCAGAATTAAAAGTTTTGCAGACCGTATAAAGCCTATATGGCACAATCTTACCTACATCACATGACATCCTCACTGCAGTCTGGGGCAGCACCCCCACGTTAAATATTACTTCTTTGGGGAAAGGTCTGAGTACCCACACTGAGTGAAACAGAAGTTATCAAAAGCTTTCACCAAGTCAGATTTTTGCCATCAAATAGTTAAAACACACACACACAAACTTTTGGTTTTCAGAGCTATTTGGACTTCAGAATTGCTGAGAAAGGATTCTGATCATGTGGTTGCATAAGAGAATTTACTAAAACAGTTAAAATATGAGCACAGCCACATGGATGACTCTTACAAACCAGCTGGGTGGATAAAGTGAGTTGTAGCAGAGACCGAAGTGTGGCAGAATTTTGTAAAGAACAAAAACAGCAATAAACACGAACATGCAGTGTTTTGTCGTTTTAAGCAAAGACCTGATCCTCAGGAGGTGGTTACCATGGGAAGGTAGGGCGGACAGGTGCAGGCCCCGGGAGCACCAGCTGGGCTCTTAAGATGGGTGGTGAGCTCACCACTACCCACTACCTACTACTTCCTATTCTTTATAAGTAATCTGTAGGTTGGGGATACTACTTCATGCCAGCAAAGTGTATGCTAAATTGCTTCGCTAAATTAAAAACTTCAACAGTGGAAGTGGGTGGTGAGCGCTGAGCAGGAAAGCCAACAAGGAGCCACCCAGTAAGAGCAGTGCCAAGAAAGTCAGAGACTCAGCAGGTGAAGGTTCTGTGGACCCAAGTCAATGGCTTTGCAGCTGGACTGAACATAGAGGGATTTAAAAAAAAAAAAAAAATCAGGAGCCCTTGAGGCCGGCGGAAGCTTTCAAGCTTGATACCTTGGAGGAGAGGGCCACAGAGGAAGAGGAAGGCTCGAACAGGTTTGAGGAGTAGGGTAAGTTTGGGCTGACTCTCAGGCAGCTGGAGAAGTCAAGCAGGCACCTGGATTATAGGTCCCGAGCTCAGCGCTAGAAACATTAATTAGGGAGACATCCGCCAAACAAGGATATCGAAGGCCAAGAGTTGGGCAAAGATCACCCAGGGAGACAGCGTGGGAAGGAAAGCAAAGGCACAAGACAAAGCCCCAAAGTGCTCAGAGGGAGCCGACAGACACTCAGCAGCGAAAGAGGAAGGCAGCAGGTGAGACGGACCGAGATGGTATTCCTCCCACAAATGCCCATGTCTTGTAGCTCCAGGCAAGTGCAGACTTCACTCAGACCACCGTCCTGCTCCTAGATAAGTCAAGGTAACCTAAGGCAAACAAGGCGCCTCTCCCTCGGTTTCCCCGAAGCAACCCCCCATCACACCAGGACCACTGCCGCGAGAGCGACTTTGGAAAGCAACGACCCGTTCTACTTCGTGCAGGAAGAACTCAGCAGTTAAATATTCAACAACATAAGTAAACCTCCCAAGTCTAAAGACGAGCAACACTTGCTTTCCTGGCGGCGTGTACGTCCTCACCAGTTCAGCGTCTGCTCTGACGCGGTTGTCATAAAAATCGTTCTCTCCACAGGAGCACAAGTGCGGTGTTTCACGGAATTATCAATATTCTGTGCGCGACCACTTCTGAACGTCGGAGCCTCCCCTTGAAACGCTCTCCCTTTAAGAATAAACACCGAATTACAGCGCCCAGGCGCTGTGCGGTCAGGAGTCTACCCTGACCAGGAGAAAGGGGGCAGTTTGACGTGCAAACCCAGAAGGCCCCGGGTCGGCCACCTGCTCGGACCTCGGACCCCGTCAGACCCCCAGCGCCGGCCCCCTCCCGGCCCCCTCCCCGCGCTCCTCCCTGGGCTCCTCCCCGGCTTCCACCCGGCCCCCGCCCAGCTCCACCCCGGCCCGCCGCGCTCCCGCGGGGAGGCTCAGCCCGGCCGCCTGGGTCCGCCGCGGCCATCTTACCGTGCGGATCCCGCCTCCCGCGCTGCGCGGTCTCCGCGGCCGCTCGGGGGGGCCGGGCCGAGCCCGGAGGGAGGCGAGGCGCGGGGGGACGGGAGGCGGAGGCGGGAGCCGCGGCGGAGGCGGGGGCGGGGGCGGGGAACGGGAGGGCAGACGCACCGACGGCCGCCCCTTCAGGCACCTCCCGCGAGATCGCGAGAGCGCAGGCTCACGAGCCGGCAGCCAATCAAGAGCTCCCTCGAGGGGGCGGGACGCGGCGGCCGCCCGGAAGCGCGAGACTCCAGCTTCCGTCCTTGCGCAGAACTCCGCTCGCGGCGCCCTCGCTCTACGGGTTGGCGCGAGAGTCAAAAGGCGTCGGCCGACCCTGGGCAAGATGGCCGCCGTCGAGGTGTCGTTGTGGGGGAACTTCCCGCCGCGATGGCGACATCTAGACTGAGTCGGAGGCGAAGGTCCCAGCTTCCTTTCCGTCATTTGTGTGAGCTCGGAGGGTAGGGTCGGGGGGGGGGCCGGTGCTGCGCGCCGCCCCGAGGCGGGGGGCGTCCCTCCCCACCGGGCGCCTGCCTTCGCGCGGGCCTGGGAGGAGGCGGCCGAGCGCGCCCCGGCGGGAGCTTTCCGTGCCTTCGGTTGAGGCGGGCAGCGGGGGTCGCCCGCCTGTGGCGGCGAGCGCTCGGCGCCTGATGAGTCAACAGAAACGGGCCTGCCCTCGGGGAGCCGGCCGCCCGGGGCTCGGTGGTCCGCCGGCCGCGCCAGGTCGGGCCGGGGCTGCGGGCGCGCGTGCGACGGCTGCCGGGCGTATTCAGCGGCAGGAGTGCAGCGGGGCGCCGGTTCGGAGTTCCCGGGGTGCGGGAGCGAGGCGTCGGGAAGGAAGTCCGACGTCGTCCTGAATTAGAAGTCGGGGTTCGGTGGTGTCGTGGGACTGCCCCCACGTGAGCTGAAGAACGCGAGAGTGGGGTCGGACTTCCCGCGGAGAGCAGTGCGGTCTGGCGGTTAGGGGGGACGACCATGACTGGTCGTGGCTCTTTCCCAGGCGGGAGCTGAGCCTGCGGGTCCAAAGTTCGACACGAGTCTAAGACGCGTAGGTGCTGCGTGTCCATAATTACCCCCTTTGCCACGACTTAACCTTATGTACCGTTCAGCTGTCAACTCTATAGTGTGCGGAGGAGTGAGGACGTTTGAAAGTCTTTCCACAGGTACCCAAGGAAGAGCTCGAAGGGCAGTGCCCTAAGGACATAGACTATTCCGGCCCAAAAAAGCTCCCGCCGTGCCTTCTCTGTGGACCACAGGGGCACGGCCCCTCCCCCCAGCGCCCAGCCAGTTCCTGAGGCGTGCGGATTCCACCTTCTTATTCTAGGTGGACACTGGCTGCTTTTGTTTGTAGCCCTCCCCACAGAACACTGAGGCCACCCGCTCTGCTTCTGCGATTGCCCCTCCCAGGGATCCTGCACGGTGTTCCGAAGCCCACACAGCGGGCAGGGTGACCTTGCGTTGTGCCTGCCCTCTCCGCGCTCTCTGGAGACTCCCTGATGGCTGTGCGAAGTGAGCACAACCGAAAAGCCTCTCCACTCCAGCCCTCTCCCTCCCCACTCCAGCCGGTCTCCCTGGGCTTACCCCAGGCTCTCCGGCTGGGCCCCCAGGCTAACTCCTCAGAATGGGGAGGCTTTCCCTAAACAAAGCTGAGTGGAGTGTGTCTTGTACCCTAAACGATCCCTTTAGATCCCTTTAGCACGGCATTTTTTGTCGCTGAGGCCTGATTCACCACAAATGTGTGAGCTTCACAAAAGTCGGAACCTCTATCATATTGTAGGAGTTCCGCCGATATTTGTTGAGAATGGAAAGGAGTAAATGAGTGAATGATGACGAGGACCTTAACCGCAAGCAGTTTCAGCAGAAGTGGACGAAGGGAGACCTAAGGAGAGAATACCAGCAGTCCTCGGTGACTGAGCTCATGGATTGAATGGCACTCAGATGTGTAGCCTGGTTGCCGAGGTTGATGGTGGTGACACCAACCGAGGAGGAGCCATCCTGATGAGTAGTGGGCTGGCAGGGGAGGAGAGATGGGGAATCGGTGCTGCCTGTGGGGACACGGCAAAAGCTCAAGGGAGTGACGAGGGCTGCAGGTGAAGCTTTGACAGTGACGCCGTGTGACATTTGATAAACATATTTAGAGAAAGACCGTAGAGAGGAGGAGCAGAGAAGTCCAGAATCCAGAAGGACAGCAACAAATGGCTATTATCCAGAGAAGCTGTCCATTAAGTCAGCAAAGAAGCTTGATAGGGACGAGGGGGCTTAGCAGGCTCTGCGGAAGCCACGGGGTGGGGGTTTTAGAGGACGCAGATGAGCAGTGTCAAGTGCAGCAGGGCCGCCCCATAGTCTACTTGACGGGTGTTGGTGACAGAAGAAGGAGCTCAGGGACACGGCAGGAATGGACAATGTTAGATGGCAATGAGTTGTGAATAGGGTGAGGGGGACACAGATGTGTGTTTAAGACTTTGAGAAGCAGTAGATGTAGAGAGCAAACAGCAGGTGAAATCGATCCCATGAGACACTAAAGCAACAGGATTTGGTGGCTGAGGGGGAGGGAGAATCTTCAGACTTCTGGCTGGTGTGTTTGGGGTTACAGGGTGGGACCAGGGCTGAATAGGGACACCAGGGAAGGGCCTGATTGGGGGAGAGGCTCCAAAGTCAAGAGCTCACTTTGCACACGTTAGGTTTTGAGGTGCATTTGAGGCATCAAGTGAGTGGATGGACCCAGATCTGGGCAGAGGTAAAGGGAAGCACAGCCAGGAGTACGTGAGCTCCTGAGTGGAGAGTGCACAGAAGGAAGGTAGAGGCCAGCCTGGGCCAGAGCCCTGAACACCCCATGCCCCTGGGAGTCTGGGGGTGTGGGGGAGCATGAAGGACGAGGGCTGCTTTGGTCACCGCCTGGGGGCAGTGACCAGGTTGGTAGGAAAGAGGTGGGTCTGTGGAAGGGGAGCTGTGGGGTGGCCAGAGCCTCCACTGTTGTCCAAGCCCTGGTAGCAGTGCACAGAGAAGTGTAAAAAGTTTACTAGTCTTAAAAGAGCGTTAAAGTATTTTTAAAAAGGGACAGGTATTTTGGGAATAAAACAGACAGTGCTCCCTTTACTCAAATTCTCGACTGCTCAATAACCAGGCCATGGGCCGTGTTTTACAGAACAACAGCATTTCGACGGTTGCTTTTAACTTATTCTCAAAACCCAAAAGCATAAAATCAAGCCCCTACGCACTGGAGGCCCTGCTTTCAAAGAGATTTGGCTAAAACAAACGTAATTCTTCAGGATAATGTATAACGTGATCAGAGTCATTGCCACACGAGGCGGTCGACAACTGCCATAGCTTTAGCTTTTCATGGTGTGTTCTGTTTCTCCGTGAAGGTGTTGGGAGAGTCAGGAAGAATTTTATGATTGTTTAGTTCTGCTGCACACATTCAGGTGCCATGTATCTTATCTGAATTCTGAGACCCAGGAAAGCAGGTTTTTTGTGTTTTTTTTTTTTTAAGATTTTATTTATTTATTTATTTGACAGAGAGAGACACGGTGAGAGAGGGAACACAAGCAGGGGGAGTGGGAGAGGGAGAAGCAGGCTTCCTGCCAAGCAGAGATCCTGATGCGGGGCTCGATCCCAACACCCTGGGATCATGACCTGGGCCGAAGGCAGACGCTTAACGACTGAGCCACCCAGGCGCCCTTGGGAAAGCAGGTTTAATGGTTGTTTTTTGTTTTTTTTTTTAAGATTTTTATTTATTTGACAGAGAGACACAGCGAGAGCAGGGACACGAGCAGGGGGAGTGGGAGAGGGAGAAGCAGGCTTCCTGTGGAGCAGGGAGCCCGATGCGGGGCTCGATCCGAGGACCCCGCGATCATGACCTGAGCTGAAGGCAGACGCTTAACGACTGAGCCACCCAGGCACCCCTTTAATGGAGTTTTGATGTGGCCTCTACCCCTCCCTCCTCTCCTGATTGTATTTCTTTTTTGAGACTGCACCATCGAATCAGAAAGCACAGAAACTAAGGGTCTTAGTTTCTTTGCTTCGGTAAAAGCAAGAGTAGGTATTTCCTGATCCTGTAACTGCTGCTGAGATAACAAACTGTGCAGCATGGTGTTTCCTGAAACAGGTGGGGCGTGGGGGGCCACGCGTCCTACCACGTACACCAGTGGCACCCAGGCTGCAGGCCTGAGGGGCAGTTACTTAATTTGCCCAGTCAAGGCACTGTTTATGCACCATTTCATATGGAATTTGACTATACCCTTCAGACCTAGCTGGGCAAGAAGTTGATCTACATGTGTTGGCTTAAGATTTAGCCTTTTTTTTTTTTTTAATTAAAATGAAAGCATGTAGGTAGCACGCACATGTAGGTGCACAAACATACACGCTACTTACTGTGCACACTTATGTCTGTGCTCTGAGGATGCCTGCCCCCTCGGCAAGTCCAGTCCATGATCATGTGATCATGATCAGGCATCTGATTGGGTGGTAGAAATGCTGAATGAAGAGATTTTTCCAATTGATATCCACATTTTCTTTTTTTTTTTAAACACCCGTATAAAATTTTGGTTTTTTGTTTTTTGACTTTAAAATTCTTACATTCTTCAAATGCCTGCTTTCTGTTGGAATGAGAGGAACTTTTTTTTCTTAAGATTTTATTTATTTATTTGACACAGAGAGAGCACAAGGAGGGGGAACAGCAGAGCGAGAGGAAGAAAACAGGCTCCCCGCCGAGCAGGGAGCCCCATGTGGGGTTCGATCCCAGGACCCTGGGATCATGACCTGAGCCAAAGGCAGACACTTAACGACTGAGCCACCCGGGCGCCCCGGAACGAGAGGAACTTTTGTACATCTGACAGACTCCCAAGATTTTTCATTTCTCTGTACATCCATAAAAGGCAACATCCTGACCTCCCACCTCTGTAGACAGATTTGGGAGATGTTACTTCTCCTTGAATCTCTTACATTTTAGCAGCAGTTGGTTCGATTTGGAACTCAAAAATAGTTGTGTTGCTAGGGTAATTTATGTGTATTGATGTTGTCTAAGTTCAGAATAAAACTCTCT